CTCCACCCACTCCCCCTCCACCCAAATGGTGGTTTTCTTCAAACCGGAGACACGGGCCCGAAAAAAGGCAGTACGCAGTGTTTTGTGTTCAGCCCCAACGTTGACATGCCCAATGGCTTGGCTTGAACAATTGTTAGGCTCGTTTCTTTGTAGTGTGGCGTGGTCATGTTGTTTGGCCAAACACCGCCCCATCCCCGAAACTTTTGAGTAGAGGGTTTATTTTTTTGCGCACGTTTCCTCAAGGGGTGTACGTAGACATTTCCTCAACGACTTTCCCTGCCTCCCCCAGCTCGTTCCAAACCCATTTGCAGCACGGACTGCGGATTGATTGCGCAGACCACGTATCGCGCCTAGGCCTAGTCCCCCGAAATTTCGAACAGGCTTCTCTTTTGCCTCTCAGCCATGGCGTCACATTGTTGTGGCTTTGTGGCAGTGGCAGACGGTGTCTGGCGCAAGCTCCTACATGGCAGCCATCCGGAGGCCGACGCTTGTGCGTAGAGCCACACATGCGGCTTGTGTTTGCGAATGCGGAAACACTGCTTCGCGCAGGTCACTATGTACAATGTCGAGACATTTAGATCACCTTTGGATGCCATCATCAGCTCTCTCAAGTTTGAGAGCCGGAAGTTCCTCAGATAAGTGGCCCGCTTTTCTTTGCCTTGACATCCGTTTCTTGCTACTCACCTAGACTGGGAGGGGTGGGATATCACGCGGTCACTTGCCACGCTGCGGCTATCGGAAGGGTCCAGCAAATCTATATTTCCCAGCTAAAAGTTGGACATGCCCCAAAGAGCACGCGTAGTTCCAGAGGAAATTCAATGGGGCACCGGAAGGCTCGGTGCTCGGGTTTTTTTGCTGTACCGTCCAAAACGATTTAAACAGAGATCCCTGTTTTCAGCGCGCGCGTGTGTGTTGCTGACATGATAGATTTTTCGACCAGCCGTTTCAAAGGCAGCCTCCCAGCCCCTCCGCACTCACAATACGACAACCACTCGGACTTCCGCTGCTGCTCCACCACAAATATTTCTATTGCTCTCTACTGACTCTCTACTCGTTACTCACCACTACTTATTATACTACTACTACTGCTACTACTACTACTACTACTACTACTACTAATTGCTATTACTACCACTACCACTACCACTACCACTACCACTACCACTACTCCTACTACTCCTACTGCTACTACTACTACCATTACTCCTACTACTACTACTACTACTACTACTACTACTACTTGTACTGCTACTGCTACTTCTATTACTACTACTACTACCGGACATCCGAGTTCTACGAAGCACGCTATTGCTTTCACTACTACTACTACTACTACTACTGCTGCTACTGCTACTGCTACTGCTACTGCTACTGCTTCTGCTACTACTACTACTACTACTACTACTACTACTACTACTAGTACTACTACCACCGCGACCACTACTACACCTACTACTACTACTAGTACTAGTACTAGTACTAGTACTACTACTAGTACTACTACTACTACTACTACTACTACTACTACTACTACTATTCCTACTATTCCTATCACCACCTTCTATCTGCAACAACAACAACAACTACTACTAATACTACTAATACTACCGTGCCCCGGATCCGGGTCCCGGATCCGGGTCCCGGATCCGGGTCCCGGATCCGGGTCCCGGATCCGGGTCCCGGATCCGGGTTGTCCCGGACGTGTGTCCCGGGTTTCGGATCCGGGTCCCGGATCCGGGTCCCGGATCCGGGTCCCGGATCCGTAGTACTACTACTACTATTTTTACTACTACTACTACTACTACTACTGGTACTAGTAGTAATACTACTACTACTACTACTACTACTACTACTACTATTACTACTACTACTACTACTACTACTACTACTACTACTACTACCTCTACTACTATACCGGGTCCCGGATCCGGGACCCGGACATCCGAGTTCCATTTACAGCACAATTATTACTACACTTACCATTAGTGTTACTCCTATTACTGCCACTAGTATTATTTTATTACTATATTACTGCTACTAATACTACCGGGTCCCGGATCCGGGTCCCGTATCCGGGTCCCGGATCCGTGTCCCTGATCCGTGTAAGCGTCGGATCCGATTCCGCTTACCGCGCTCTTGCTTTCTTATATTCCACTATGACCACTACCATTATCATTAGTGTTACTATTACCAATACTAGTAGTACTTCTTCTACTACTACTACTACTATTATTATTACTACTACTATTAATACTACTACTACTACTAGTACTATCACTACTATTATTTCAACCACTACTACTAGCAGTAGTACTACTACTACTCTACTACTACTACTACTACTACTACTACTACTACTACTACTACTACTACTACTACTACTACTACTACTACTACTACTACTACTACTACTACTACTACTACTACTACTACTACTACTACTACTACTACTACTACTACTACTACTACTACTACTACTACTACTACTACTACTACTACTACTACTGCTTGCTACTACTACTACTACTACCACCACTACTACTACTACTACTTTTACTATTGCTACTACTACTACCATTGCTACTACTGCTGCTACTACTACTACTACTACTACTATTACGATCCGGGTCCCGGACCCGGGTCCCGGATCCGGGTCCCGAAACTATTGCTACCACTACTAGTATCATTACTATTACTACCGGGTCCCGGCTTCGGGCGCCGGATCCGAAATCTGCTTAGCGCGCTATTGCCTTCACTACTACTACCACCACCACAACTACTACTACTACTAGTTTTACAACTACTAAAAGTACGACTATTGCAAGTACTATGCAACTGCCCCCGGGTCCCGGATCCGGGTCCCGGATCTTGCTTGTGCTAGTAGCAGCGCGCTGCTGCGTGTTACCAAATACTGGTTTCTGATTGCCAACTAAGGACTACTTCTTTTCTTCTTCTACTTCCTTTTTTCTATTGCAGCAATAAGATCTGCGTCCCAAAACCGGGTCCGGATCCGGGCCCTTGGTCGGAATTGAATTTCTTTAGTGGTAGTAGTGGCAGTAGCAGTAGCATAAGCCGTAGGAGTCGTAGTAGTAGTAGTCGTAGTAGTAGTAGTCGTGCAGAGTAGTAGCAAAACTCGCAGTGGATCCGCGTCCCTGGTCCGAGCCCCGGATCTAGGCTCTGTGTGTTTAGGCCCGGCGCTAACGCGATATTGCTTTCACTTCCACTCATTACCACTACTACTGCTCCTACCACTAGTAGTACTACTTCTACTTTTTCTACAAGCGCTTCTACAAGTAGAAATGCTACTATAGTAGTACCAGTCGTAGTAGCAGCAGCAGCAACTTAAGTAGTACTACTAGTAGTAGTAGTAGCAGTAGTAGTAGTAGTAGCAGTAGCAGTACTCGTAGTAGCTACTACTACTACTACTACTACTACTGCTACTGCTACTGCGACTGTTACTGCTACTGGTGCTACTACTGCTAATGCTACCGCCACCACCACCACCACCACCACTACTACCACTACTACCTGCTACTACTACTACTACGACTACTACGAGTACTGCTGGTGTTGCTGTGGGATCCTGGCCCCGTGTTCTTCGGTGCTTGTAGTTGCTGTGAATAATTGCTGTGCTACTATTATTACTTCAACTTCTAGTATTACTAGTGCTCTCACCACTACCACTACCACCACGACGACTACCTACTACTATTCTGAGTACAAGCGCTTGCAGTAGCACAAACGCAACAACAGCAACAACAACAACGACAACAACAACGACTACAGCTACTACTACTACTACTACTACTACTACGACTACTACTACTACTAATTCTACTACTACTACGACGGCCGCTACTGTACTACTATTATCATGACTGCCCTACCCTTCTAGTGGCAGACCGCACCACGCTGCTACCGCCGCCGTTCCTGCCACTACTAACAGCAGCAGCAGCAGCAACAACAACAACAACAACAACAGCAACAACAACAACAACAACAACAACAACAACAACAACAACAACAGCAATTGCGCGTGCTACGCCGCATACTGGCGCCTATATTCCTGGAATTGTATGATTCAATCCCCAAAAGACCAGAGTCCGTTTTCAAGCGCGGACAGCACGTAGACGCCTGCGCAGAGCCTGTGACAGAAAGCAACGACAGAGCCTGTGACAGACAGGAGTGACAGACCAGATGCGCAGAGTGACTGGCAATCGCGCAGCACAGACACGCAAGGGAGGCAGTGGAGGGCTTGTCTTCAACGGAAGCAGAAGCACGTCGTGCTTCTGCGCTTGCCAAGGCTGGGTGTGAACTCTATGAAGAAACGACGCGCTGACGGAGGACGCGCTGCCATGTGCGCACACGTAGTGTGTTGCTTTTTGCCTGCAATCGCGCATGTCTGTCTTGCGAGCTGTGAGGACTTGGAATGGAGACGCAGTCGCAGGGTTGATGCCGCGCTTCGGCGACGAGTTTCTGGTTTTCCACATCGAGTGCTCAGACGCGGACTCGCTTCTGCATGCGCTGGCCAAGGAGCGGCTCAAGCTGGTGAACAAGGAGGGTGTGGTTTACATCATGGACCAGTTCTCTCCCCTGGAACGCACATGCTGGAACACGGGCACGGGATCGCAGTCAGAGACGGAGTCGGAGCCGCAGTCGACAGCAGGAGTGACGGTGAACATGACCCGCTGCCAGGTCATGACGAGCTTGCTTGGCGCGCAGACGCATTCCTCGGACAAGCGTCCGTCAGAGCTGTGGTGGACATTTTACGTCCCAGTCGCTGCAGAGCTGTCAGACAAGATTCGCCAAGCTGGCAACAATGAGGCCAGGGTTGGGGCCGTCTTTGACCCAAGCAACCGCAGCCACCACGAGCACATCCGCATGTTGATGCAGAGGCGCAGATCGCACGATCTTGTGAGACTACATATTAGGGGCCCGTGGCTGAAAAAATGATCCACCCTTGCTTCTGGCCCCTGCTTTGGAGGTGCGCCGGCTACAAGCCGGGTGGCGGGTGGAACACGGCTGCAGTGTTCGCCTTCAAGACCCTTCGCACCGCCACCATGCTCGCAGTCGCAGCTGGGCGCTCTTTGGCAAGCACGAGTACCGACACTGGAGGAGCAGTTTGTGCGGCGATTGTGGAAATGAAGATTCCAGTGTGCGAGGGGCGGAAAGTGCTCACACCTTTCACAGGGTCAAAGTCGTCGTCGACGTTGCCAGCGAAGTGGGAGGTGTTTGAGGATGCGTGGCTGGCGGAGGCATCCGGGGAGTTTCAGATCCAGGCAGTCCAGGTCAAAGTCGATGTCGCGTCCACCGCTACTCAGCAAGACGCGAAGGCCATTCAGAAGCAGAGGGTAGCGGGCCAGGTCAGCGCTCTGCAGTCGAAGTGCCTTGAAAGAAGATAATGCTTTCTTCGAACGGAGGGACCTGTGACTGTAACCTTTTCCAGTGTTGCATCGTTGGCTTCCGCGCGTCAACTAGGGGATTTTGCTTCACGCAAGGCTGAAGGGCATCATGCTGCAGTGTCAGTCGTGCTTGGACAAGTTGAATGTGGCAGGGCAGAACGTTGAGAACCCCGAAGCCGCAGTCAGCGATGCAGACAAGACTGCTGTTGTCTTCGCGGAAGAGTTGATGAGCAAGTTCTCGAGTTAGGGTGATTAGCCGACGTATGTAGTCATTTTTGTTAGTTCGGTGCAGGGCGCCCAGGCTTCTGCGCCTGACCGGTGCGCGGCATTGTGACTGTGACAAGAACGGCGATTGCCTTGCCTTTTTTGACCTTTGAGAACGGAAGCGAAACTACAGGTGGTTGATCCTTGAAGCCACTGACTTGCAGCTTGGATTGTGCTTGCGCTGGCGCTCCGCTTGGCGAGTTGGGAGGCTGCTTGTTACGCCGCGCCAGCAGCAGCTCTTTTAGACACTGCTGCAGCCTAGAAGGCCTCCGCTGCGTAGCCATGTCGCAAAGCCCGTGGCCTTGGTTTTCAGCAGTGACTACAACCTCAGAAGCGCCGGCAAGGCATACGAAGATGAGCGACAACAAGCTGCAGCCTGACAGCACGTCAAAAGACTCGAGCCTGCCAAAGTCGGACTTGACGTCGCTGTCAGACTCAGACTTGGAGCCGTTGGACAAGCTCCTGCCGGCAGCGATGTCGCAGTCGCAGTCGTCCCCACAAAAGTCGCGCCAGCTAGCGCCGTGCGACGACGGCGACGAGGCAACCAAGAAGAGGAAGGCGGCAGATAGGCGGTATGAGGCAGCGCGTAAGAACACGCGCCGCTCGACAAAAAAAACTTAGCAGCAACTATGGCGTCCCAATGTGTCACACGTGCCGTTGGACGATGCACGGAGGCTCGCCTGGACACACTGTGAGGTTTGTTCCAGGACGACACCGCAATTGAGCTGAGGACAGATGGCAAGAAAGTGCAGCAGCTGGAGGCTGAACTGGAGTTGGCAAAAGCTTGCGTAGCAGCAGCAATCCAGAACGAGCGAGAGGCAGTTTTGTCGGCGCTCTCTGGCTGCATTTGTCTGTTTTGCTCACATTCCCAGAGAAACAGACTGAGAAAAGTTGTGCCCCCCAATCCTAGGGTTGACGCCGTAGGTGTCAAAAGGAAAATGCATCAGCCTCCGCCACGGCCGCTGCGCAGCTTCAAGCTGCAGAAGCAGTTGGAGGCTTGCTGCGAGACCTGCGTCATAGTTGGCGTGTGTCTGGCAGCGGGGTTTTGGGGGTAGTGCCAGGAACAGATAAAAGATCTCGTCGCACAGAATTCTCGGATGTCCCTTGGCTTTGCTGTATTCACTGACAGGGCAGATTTCGAATGTGCTCAGATCACGTGAAGTCTTGGGCCCTCTGCAGGCAAGAGCAGATTCAGATGCTGGCGCAGAGGCTTCAATGGCACGAATGCGTGCGGGATTGGGTGGCTACCTGCGGGAAGCACGCTTTGCAAAAGTCCACAGTTTATCAGAGCTTTTGGCATGGATGAGGCTAGAAGACAAGCCAGTGTTTCAGCCCAAAACTTGGCAGGCGTAGTCGCAGCAACGCAGTCGCAGCGCACGGTATGAAAAAACGCAGATGGCCGCACTCCTGGCGCGCAATCCCGACCGCAGCCATTTTCACCCGCTTTGCAACCAGGCCCAGCGCCCAAACTTAACAGAACCACAACAAATTGTTGCGGTTCGCTTTCGCGAGTGTTGCCAACCATGCTTGTAAGAGGACTGTTTGCCACGCCTGTGCTGGCTCGTGCCCTTCATGGCTCTATCAATCTGCAGTCGGCCCTGCCCCGAGCTGCCGCTCGCAGTTCGCTTCTGAGTGTGCTTCGAAGGTGTTCGCCTAACTTTGTGGCTTCCAAGGTGCTTATAAGAGAACCACAACAAATTGTTGCGGTTCGCTTTCGGCACTGTCCATGGCCATTGCTTAAAGCAGCTGCTTTTGCATACGGCCCGCTATTCGAGCCATGGAGTTGTGCGAGGGCCTTGCCTCAGCTCAGGCGTCGGGGTCGGTTCATGTTGTGGCCGTCAGCGCTGCTTGCAACTAGACAGGTCTATGACCCAGCGGCGATCCAGCCCAAGCCTTTCGAGTTCACGTTGCCTGGTCCGCTTTCGAAGAAGCACAAGGTGACGAAGGAGGATCCAGACTGCATCATGGCCGAGGATGAGGATGTGGTTGTGACCGCCCAGGCGCTGCCGTCAAAGGTCGTGCTGCAGGACTTAGTTTTGCCAGCGAGCCACGGCCACAGTGCGCTGCAGTTTCTGGCTGCAGGATTTCAGCACAGAGTTTAGCACGCGCTTGGGCGGACTGAACACGTCGCAGTTGGATCACTTCCTGAGCATTCTGCCGCAGTCGTTTGCCCACGCCTTACTCACTGCCTGCACGCGGGCTTCAGAGCGCGCGCGTGGTAGTGATACTGTTCACACGCGCGAAATGTGGGTAAGATGCTAGAATTTGGTTTTCAGACAGTGTTGATCCTTCATAATTTCTTTGTGCTGAGCTGAGTCGCTGTCGGTGGTTGGCGCCGTGCCCTTGGCGTGCTCCAGTGGCAAGCTTCCGTTTGTGGGGCCGGACAACAAGATACCGAGCCCACGTTGGGCAACCTTTACGGCTTTGATGGTGCTTCACGAGCGCATGGAGTCAGGCGCCTGTGAGGGCACAGATGCAGCCAATGTTAGGTTCAGCCAATGTAGCGCGCAGTGTTACATCTGCTGAGCTTGGGCAGGCGAGATGAGCGCTGAGTCGTGGTCGCAGGAAGCTTTGCGTGACTTCAAGCGCATCATGGCGGACGGAGTCGATGTCATTTGGGAGTCGCAGTCGTCATGGGCCACACACTGCGTCTTTCTTGGCGGCCTCACGCTGAAGGTGGAGTGTGCCAAGAAGACGCATCTGGCGGAAGATGCTTTGGCCTTCGCGGCACTCCTGCGGGAGGTCCGTGACCGGGACGAGGCTCAGCGTATGTACATCTGTGGGCTCCGCAGATTTTCGCGGAGCGGCGGTGGCAGGACCTGCAAAAGCTCTTGTCCGCAGTCGATGTCGAAGCCCTCAGGGCAATACTGGAATGGCGCCAAGCGGCGCATTATTTACGCGCCAATGCGTGTCGCGAGTCCTTCCTAATTGGCAGGCGATTCGCCGCTCTCAAGGGGGTTTCGGTGCGAGTTTCTTGGCTGCGGCAGTAGCTGTAGCTTGCTTCAGTAGAAATGGCATGCGCGTGCTTCACGGTGGAGGCAAAGCTCTATAGCTTGTTCAGACTAAGGTGGCCTCACACCACGCGGTTGGCGAAGAGGTGACGGGCGGAGTCGACGTCGCGGTCGGAGTCAAGACAGAAAACAAATCCCTTGTAATCCCTCTGCAGCGCTTGATCGTGAACATGGTCTTGGGCAAGTTGGATGCGGGGACCGTCGAGAAGACGCGCAGCGGGTATAAGCTGCAACGCGCGCCAATGACGGCAGATCGAGTCGACCGCTTGGCGTGGACCCTGCTACTTGACCTTTATTGACCCTATAGCGCTACTCACTCCATGTCAGTCCTGGTGCCGGCTGAGGCTGGAGTGCCGCATTTATTTCCTCGCGCTGGAGTCTAAGTACGCAGTCGTTTATGAGGCGCGGGTAGCGCAACAGCTTCAGAGGCATCGAAGGTCAAACCATAGCGAGGGCTCTGAACTTGCAAGCCAGTGCCCATGCCAAGCTGCGAGACGTGCGCCTTGTCAGGACACGCCTCAAGTCTGGCGCCTCATCCAGCGGATTTTTGTTCACGGTGAACAGCACCTTTTGCAGAAGTTCGATGAGTGGCTCTGCTTGCGTAACTCCAACACGTACGAGACGCCCATGAGTGTGCGTGAGGATACTCTGCGCAAGCGCTTGCCTTGGCTAAATTCAGCTGTTTGCGTAGCTTGTGAGTGCGAGTTGAGCGGTTGCCTTGGCTTGCGCAGCTATCTTATCCATAGCGTTCTGATCTCCTATCTCGGCCTCGTTTGCCGATTGTAGTTATGTTCTGCCAAGGCGATTGGAGTCGCTTGTGCCCAAAGAGGTCACGGGATCGCAGTGTGACACGGCGGCGGTGCCGTCAGAGGCCAAAGCCAAGCTGCAGCAGGCCAAGGAGATGAAAGTGCAGGAGGAGTTGAAGAAGGCAGCGGCTGAGGAGGCCGCGCAACGCCAGAAAAGGGCCGCCGCAACACCGGAGCCCACCAGGTCGACGGAGCAACAAAAGCTGATGCAAAAGCTAGTCGCAGTCCGAGAGGCAATGAATGAGCAATCCGCGAGGTCGCAGTCGCAGGCCGCCAGTTCCACAGAGGGAAGCCTTGGCATGGACTCCATGGACTCAACTTCCGTGCAGGAGGGATGCAACTTGTGATGTCACGTCAGTGCCTTTTGCAGACCTGCAGGCTTGTGCTTGCTAGAAAAACACAGGCCTCAAACCTTTGCCTTCTTGCTGGCCGTGATGCTGCTTGCTAGGAGGTTTTGTCCAGCATTGTGGTCAGTCCAGAACTGATGCCGCCGCCGCCGACTTTGCAGGCTGGACAGCCAACCTGACCGAAGAAAGAGCGAAGTGTTTTCCCGCCTGGATGGCAGGTTGGTAGCAGTGGTTGGAGGCTGTTTGTGGTGCCGCCTGTGGCATCCAAGCGTGGGCCCAACAAGATCAACTCAAGTCTGACCCTCAGAAACTTGCCTCGCGACGGCTAGATGTGGACTTCTTGTAATGCACTTGCGTGGGAAGTTTGCAGCCAGTTGAGGCCTGCCGCCTCTCCAAGTGAAGCGCCTGAATCTCCTTTGGCTGGCGGAGTTTTCTGAGAAGGATGTGGTGATGCTCATTCTGGGCCACGATCCTGGGAGCGCCGAGCAGTCCAAGGCCCACGAGACTCGAGGGCAGCTGCCGCCTTGCAATTGTGCCATGACGCCTGCCAGGAACACTTCAAGAAAGCGTTGTTCGCAGCGCGCTCCAGAAACGGCAAGAGCGGCGAAGTTGCCATGGAGTGGCAAGCGCCTGTCATCCCGGTCATTCAGAAGAGCTACGTGGAGTACGTTCTTTTGGGAAGAGGCTCGGCCCCAAGACACGTGCGATTATCCTCATGCGCTTTCAAGAGCCATACGCTGCGACGCCGCCTTGTTTGGCTGCTCTGCTTGATTGATTGAACACGCCCAGGCTCGAAGTCGTCCAAGACGCTGAACGAAGTCAGACTGATGGGCGGGCAGGCTGGGCAGACGCTTGTGGATGGTTACCCGTCGCCAGATCTTCGCTTGACGCGCTGCGTTGTCGTCTCCGACGCCGAGTTGGGCATGGGCCTGACGTCAAAGTTCAAGGAGACCGAGGCAAAGGCCAACTCGGGGTCCTTGGGCAGCTGCGCAGCGACCCGCTTCATGGTTGAGCGGCTCCAAGAGCAGAAAGTGCTCATCCAAGAGGCGCGGCAGTCGAAGTTGATTTCGCAGACGAAGACAAAGGGCAAAATGAGCGATGTCCTTCAGAACTTGAAGAAAGCAAAGGCTGAGGACGACGGCTTGTACGTGTCAGAGGACGAGGACGCACCGGCGGAGGCCGACGAGGACGAAGTCCGGGACGCTGACGTGGTGGCTGGGGTTAAGACCAGGGCCAAGGACTCCGACCCTTACAAAAAGAGGCGCAGGGCTTGGGAGGGTGAGCGCGCAGGGAAAAATTGCTTGCGGCGTGCTTGTTGTGGGGCCTATAAGCCGTCGTCAGGAGCTATGCCAACGGCTGGTCGGAGTCTTTGTGGCTAGACGTGTTCAAGATGCTCTCGCCAGCGGTTGTTGTGGCCCTGGTGCCTTTGAGCAGCGCGGGCCCAGGCCTTCCATCTGCGGTTCTAGAGCTGAATCGGGTGGCGTTCGGTGTCAGAGCTGAGCCCTGTGTTCTTTATGTGCCAGTTCCAACCCCTACTGCAGTCGGAGTCGGTGGAGGAGGCGGAGTGGGGGCGGAGGTCAATCTTGCCATCGCAGCGGGCGCAGGCGAAGCCCCTGCGGGCCGGACCAGCACGCTGCGCCTCGTCGGGCCGCAGCCAAAGAGGAAGGCGAGGGCAAAGGCGAAGTCGCAGGCAAATGCAGGATCGCAGTCGCAGCCGCGCACACCAACATCAACGCAGTCGCAGACGCCGAAGAAACGCGCGTGCGCGGAGGAAGAAGAAGAAGAGGCAGGATCTCTTGCCTTTTTTTTTTTCGGCGCTGCGCACGGCCTGTTGCCTTGGGGTCTAGACATGTAACAGCCTCGCTGCTCCTACTTGAAGGCCTTGCGCGCAGAAAGAACAAGTGGCCTTTCTTGTTTGAGAGCTTTCGCTGCCCGAAAGTGCTTCTTGCTTCTTGTAGTAGTCTGCATCCGGCCCCTGTTCCTACACCAGGAGGAAGCCTGACAGAGAGCAGGTCAGAGGCGGGGGCATGTTGTTTTTCTTCAATTAGCACTAGCCGTTTCTCTGTTTTCAGAAGCTGCAGTCGTGGAGGCTTTGAGCTTGGCGGCTCTACTGGGCTCGCTTGGCCAAGTTTTGCTCTTTCCCTTTGCGTTGATCTGAGCTGGGTAGCCACGCAAGAGTGGCAAGCAGCAATGTGAGTGGAAGTTGCGTGGCGGTTGGCTTCGCAGTCGTGTTTTTGAGCGAGTTTCCGTTGTGACGTTGGCGACGTGGCCTAGCAACGGCGAAGCCGGGCTCCGAAGTGGAGACGTGCTCTGAAAAGAACTCGCGCGGCCACAGTTGTTGGGTTTGTGCTGCGCTGCAGGGTGCATTTGCAGCCTCGCTTGTGCAAAGCTCGTGTCGGCGCTGAAATCGTCAAGGAGTAGAGAGTCGTGTTCTATCCAAGCCCGTGCAGCAGCAAACTTCGCAGCGAGAGTCAGCCAGTGAGTGCTTTATTTGGATGCATGAGACCCTGTTTCTGCTGATACTTGAAGCCGACAGTGCTAACCCGTCGCATGGCGTCTGCTTGCTGCTGCTTCCTAGCCGACTGTGACCTTTGCTTCAAGGACGCGACTGTGTCTCCAAAGCCGCATCTGAGCACCAAGACAGCCAAGCCCAACCCAGGGCCACCGTTGGCAGGGCCAGTCCAAGCGACGGAGGAAGGACTGGGCTCAGAGAAAGCCAGGCTCACGGCGATTGCAAGACTTGCTCCTTGATGCAACGAGGGAGGTGGACATTGAGGCAGGGCTCGGCAAGTCTTCGCCTCTGCGCGCAGACCCTGACTCACTGACTGCTCTCAGGTGTCCTTGAAACAGCTTCTGGCGCGAGTTCCTCGCTCCGTTTGGCAAACAGCCCTGCAGACTATCCAGAGGCCCAAGGAGAGCGCCCAGGCAGCAGATACGCGCGCTCGTTTACACATGCACACAGATGTGCAGCTGACGTTTGGTCAGGAAATGGCTGTTCTGGGAGCTATTTGCAGGCGCAGCTGGCCTTAGTGCAGCTGTGCTGCAAGCGCTGTCGTTGCCGGATGTTAAAACCCTCTAGGCCCCGTGCCGAAATTGGGTAGCTGTTCTGAGGTCCTTGTTGGTGTTGCTTCCCAAGTTCCATTGATCGCCATTTGGCTCAAGACACAATTGAGGTTCAAGATCTGATGTGTGACTGCGAATAGACGTGATCGTCGCTGAGAGTGAAATATCTTTGCTCGCGCTGCAGTTGTCAGGACCACTGGTGTAACTATCATCCCTTCTTCCTTACAACGTTTACACGGGTTCGGCTATAACGGCATCGTCCGTATACACCTTTCTACGTGGTTGGTATTACAGCTTGAGGGTTCGGTGCATAGCGTCCCACGGGACGTCACCTTGCCGTCTCTTGACAGGTTATCAGCCGTATCTACAAGCTCTACACTGGACTGGGAGACAGCTGGTTTATTGCGGGTACAGGGACAATAAAGGAACGATAACATACACTGTACAATGGCGTCTTCGGCGAGCCCAAGTACTGCAACTTTTGGGAACAGCAGCTCAGAGGGATCCAATGGACTGATGGCTCTTCCTGCGGTGATGGATATGATTGCAGATTCACAGGATGAACCTGGGAGCGGAGGTTCCGCGCTATTCAGCGACATATCTACTCCCACAAGATCATGGAAGCAGATCGATGTTCATCAGGAGTCGAAGAAAAGAGAATCCCCACCGAGAAGATCATCATCTTCGCCTGCGACACCACGGACGTCGCAGAAGGGCGTGAGATCGACATCGAAGGGTGGGAGGTCAAAATCACCCACCAGTGCAGATTTTCGCGCCGTGATCAAAGAGAAGAATAAGATGGAGGTGGAGATCGGGGAATATCAGAAGACACTTGATGAAATGTCGGCAGCAATGGCGAATCTTAACCAAGAAGACTATGGAAGCACCATCCGGATCCAGGAGCTGGAAAGACGATGCGAGATTGCCAGCAAGCAGTCGGGACATCTAGTGAGTCACCACCAACACCACATGGCTGAGGCATGGCGCAAGTTTGAGGAAGAAGCCCAACAGATGCGCAAGGTGGAAATGAACGCATTTCAGTACGGGGAGAAGAAAGACATGGAGTCGAATATTATAATGCAACAGATGAGGCAAGCTGAAGGAACTATCATGGAGCAGAAGCGGGAGATTGCATTGATGAAATCCTACATGGCAAGCGAGAAGTCGGCCGCGCAGGAATCAGCTATACGTGCAAATCAGATACACCGTGAGGCTTCACAACAGATATCAGTTTATCAGCAACAGATCAGAGGCATAGAATCTTCTACATCTATCGAGAAGTTCAACGAGGAGGAGATGGTCCAAAGTCTGAAATCACAGTTGGAGCATGCACTCGTCAAGCGCCCCGAGACGTACTCTTTGGAGGACTCCAGGGAACAGCTGATGGCGAGGCTGAATGACGTTACAGTATTTGCGGAACAGGAATCGAAGAGAGCAGATTGCTTGCTTCGCGAAAAAGAAGAGATCGTCAAACAGTATGAGTCCGACGTGTCGATGAAGGACCAGATGATTGCTGTCGAAGGTGGTCATCGTCAGGATGCGATCTTGGAGTTAGCCCAGGTCAAAGAAGAGAAACAAGAGGAACGGTGCACGATGGACGAGAAGTCGAAGGAGGCTGAGTACTGGAGATTGACAGCTAAGGGAATGTACGATGAGTACCTCGAGGAGATGCATGAGCTTCAGGGACAACTGAAGGAAAGAGAGGCGACGCTCAAGCAAGAAGAGAGTTTTGTACGCCAACTCGATGCTGACAACGAGGAACTACGTGCACACAAGAAGCTAGAGACACAGGAAGCCTCCAGCAGCAAAGATGGACATCGTGAACGAGCAGTAGTGAGGCGCGCTGAGGGAGGAACCCAGGCTAATTCAAGTAGGATAGACAAGAAGGTGGCTGGGTTAGTCCCGTCATCGTCTTCGAATCAAATCCATAATTCGTCGCTGATGCCAGGTTCGATCCTCTTTCCGTCTTTCGGTGATCCAATGATCGATGTACACCTATCCCAGATGCAAGGGGTTGTTGGGCATGTCCCACAATCCACTACTACGACTGGTGGTGGTGATGGAGGGGGAAACAACGGTACTACGCCCCCATTGGATTACGGTGGATTCCCGCCCAATGGGAATGGGCAGGGAGCGGGTCGACGTCAGTTGAGCCTCGCTGGTGGCGGAGGAGGACCTCCGGATGATCCACCCGATGATGAGGATGAGGATGACGACGACGAAGGAGATGAGGAAGACGAGGAAGAAGAAGAGGAAGAAGACGATCGGACACGGAGGAGACGAAGGAGATCGAGAGATAACCGAGAGATCAAGAATGATCGACCGAGAATCTCGAGGAAAGAGGCCGAGAGAGTATCTATTCCGGCCTGGCCAAAGATCCATCAACTTGACACCTGGAAGATGCAACTGCTGATGAATGTTCTGAGCGCATGTGCAGATCCAGATACCGACGCATGGACGAAATGGCTGGAGCAGGCTCTTGGGTTGAACCCAGACCTGGATTTGCTTAGCGATTCAGGTGGCGACAGATTTGCTACGATAGATATTAAGATGGCCATGGGCATGCAGAACATGCTGAAACAAGCACCTGACGAAGCCAAGGACGTATACCTCGATGCTACACGACACTCTGAACTACGACATCAACAAGGGGTGATCGTGAAGGGACGAGAGTTGGTGGCATTAGTTATGCAATCATTCAGAACTTCCGATAGAACGGATCTTGTCTACCACATCGAGCATCTATTCAACCTTGACTTTCCTGGCGACAAGAACTTGGTCATGTTCAGGAACAAATGGTATGATTTGCTGCTGAAGATGAGGAGCGAGGACAGACCCAGTAAGCTGGCTCTCAGAGACATCCTTTACAGGAAGATCAAAGGGAGCAAGAAGATGGAGTTCGGCCTCAATGCCTACCATAGACTACCGGACAAGCATCCTCAGAAGACGTATGAATTCTTATTGGCGTTGATCGACTATCAGATCAAGGCAGATCGGGAAGACCTGATGCTCGACATGAAGGAGAAATCGGTCAAGTCGATGATGAAGTCAGGCGGGAAGGATGCGGCTCCAGCAACTGGCAAACAGGAGAACCAGGGTGGCAAGGGCAGAAAGGGGAAACCCGGTGGACCTGATGCCGCTCCTGTGCTCCCAAAAGCCAAGGCAAAGGGCCACGCTGGCAAGAACGGCAAGTCCGACGGTGCCAGCGACAGAGGCAAGAGTCCGGGCGGAAGCAAGGATAACCCCTGCTGGTACCACTTCAAATCGGCGAAGGGGTGCGTGAAAGGGAATGAATGCACTTTTTCCCACAGCAAGAAGACGGAGCACAAGTTGGAGAGTATGTCCAAGGGGAAAGGA